TCCAAATCCTCATGCGTAGGGCCAAGTTGGGGGAAATCGTCAACGTCACCGAGGAGCTCGTCAAATTGGCCAGCAACGTCATCTCCAACATGATGCTCAGCATCCGGTGCTCCGAGACAGAAGGGGACGCCGAGGCCGCCCGGACCGTGATTCGACAGGTGACCCAGATTTTCGGGGAGTTTGACGCGGCAGACTTGATCTGGTTCTGTAAGAACTTGGATCTGCAGGGGATTAGGAAGAGGTCGGAGGACATTCAGAGGAGGTACGATGCCCTGTTGGAGAAGATTATCAAGGACCGGGAGGAGGCGCGGCGGAGTGGAGGAGGAGGAAAGGAGGCTAGGGATTTTCTGGATATGTTCCTTGATGTGATGGAAGGCGGCAAGGCGGAGGTCAATTTCACCAGAGAACATCTCAAGGCTTTGATTCTGGTAAGTAAACTATTAACTGATAAGTTATCAAAATTTTAAGCAACTACACTATTTACTTTGTACATACACAAATTTAATTATGAATAGGCATAATTAATATCAGTTTAGTTACACTAAAAACAAGCACATTTATTGGTTAACCTATTATAATAAGTTAACATGAATGCTGAGTAGTTAAATAAAAAGTTAATGGGGCGGCCCTTGAGGGCCTAAATTGTTCTGTCAAGCTTTTAAGCCATCTAACGTCTTTAATATGGATAGTGACATTGCGACCTATAAATAGAGGGTTGGCACCAAGCAACTACCTATATAAGTTGCTGCCTAAATAAGATTGGCCTCCTTGTTTTATATAGCATTGTATTTGTGTAAGTGCATGAACAGCAGTAGCTGATTAGGTTGGTTTGATGGGGATAAAAGGACAAGTTTTAACGAGTATGAAACCACAAATTTTGCTGTTATTTATTTGTTTATTGTATCATTAACACAAAATAAATAAATAAATATTCCAAGGATTTCTTCACGGCGGGTACGGACACGACAGCCATTGCGACCGAGTGGGCCATAGCGGAGCTCATCAACAACCCGGATGTGCTGAGAAAGGCCCAGAATGAGATTGATCAAGTGGTGGGTCTTGACCGGCTGGTTGAGGAATCGGACTGGCCCAACCTGCCCTACCTCCAAGCGGTGATCAAGGAGATGTTCCGTCTCCACCCACCCATCCCAATGCTTTCGAGGAAGTCGGTCTCTGATTGTGTAGTGGGCGGCCACTTCATCCCTGCAAAGACCATCCTTTTCGTCAACATCTGGTCCATGGGGAGGAACCCCGACTACTGGGAGAACCCACTTGAGTTCAGGCCCGAGAGGTTTCTCGAGAGCTCCATCGACGTCAAGGGGCAGCACTTTGAGCTCCTACCTTTCGGGACGGGCAGAAGGGGCTGCCCGGGGATGCTGCTCGCCATACAAGAGCTCATCGTCATCATCGGGACAATGGTGCAGTGCTTTGATTGGAGGCTGCCTGAGGGGTGCGGGCACGTTGACATGACCGAGCGCCTCGGCTTGACAGCTCCACGGGCCAACGACCTCTTCTGCAGGCTGGTGCCCAGGGTTTCCCCAGAGATTATTTCCGAGCAGTGAACGGCAAAACATGTTTCATTCAAGGAAAAAGAAAAAAGTTGTGTACCCTAGGTATGTTATTGAGATGGTACAGTCTCTTATGATTCGAAGTTAATTATTTTTGTGTGTTAATAAATTGGCTGTTGAGGGGCATAAAACTTTTAAGGGGAAATGAAGTATTGATCAATGGGAGAGAGTTAGCTGGATATGATTTGGGTTTCTGTGGCATATCGTACATCGTACAGTATAATTAATGTTTTGTCTAGACCGAAATACTCTCTACCGGACGCCACATTAGAAGGACGTGAATACATATAAATTTGATTAGTTTTCTATTGTTTTTTTTAACCCTAGTTAATTTTGAAGAAAGTAGTATGATTTGTTGTTAATTGGAATATAAGTTTAAATTAAATAATATATAAAATAAAATAACTAAAGTTAATTTGATTTAAAGTAGGAGAAAAATGATTGAAAGTGATAATTAGTTAAAATTATGTGTGTGGATGAATAGTAAACTAAAATTGATGTAATTGTAAGAACAAATTTCGTGTATTGAATTTTTAAACACGAAAAATATTTCACAAATAAATTTCTCGAATCAAATAAAAATAGTGGATTACATTCTCTATTATTCATCTGATTATTCTCACGAAAAATTTAAAATCTTGGAGCGAAATATTTGGTTTCATCTTCTCATTGACTTGATTTGACTTGAATTAACGTTAATCCGAGGGTCAACGCTTCGATTTCGGATCAAACGTCCCAAGAACGCGAAGAACACGAATCTTTGATATTATCCGCAAAGTAGATCTTGAATCTTCTCCACGCCGGTTTTGAGTTCACTAACGTTATTCGGAGGCTTCGCAGCTTGTTTCCGGAATGAACGCCAGTCTTGAAGTAGAACGCGCTTGAATCTTGCTTCGAATTTTCAAGAACACTTTTGAATCTTCAAGAACACTTAAATCTTGTCGAAAGAATTTTCTAGAGCTCTTAAACTTGAATATGAATTATGATGTATGATTTTGGCTTCAACTAAAGTCCCTATTTATAGGTGTAGGATAGAGTATTTTAACAAAATAAAAAATCGTACGACGCGATTTGATTGGTCCACGATGATTCACATGCGATCTTCTAGATCCACTTAAATCTCTCAACCTATTATATAAGATATGATTTATTTACCAAGAATAAGGATTTTCCACTTGACATTGTTTGATTGGTCAAGAATTAAAATATCAATTAGTTAACTATTTAAATTTAGGAATTAAATATGTAGAAATTCCTAAAATATAAATAGAAAATATGACTTGATTTTTAACAAATTAATTTTCACGTGGCGCAATTGGATTGGCCACAATTTTCATGCATCTACAAATGCCCCCTCGAGACTTGTTCACGAACGACGTGTCTTAAAGTGAAAAAATCGCGACTTTCTTTTACTCAAACTTGGAAGACGTGATATGAACTTACAAGGTCCACGAGAACCCAAAACTTGTTGCCATGTGTATCAAATAGCCCAAAGCTTTGGAAGACGTGATATGAACTTACAAGGTCCACGAGAACCCAAAACTTGTTGCCATGTGTATCAAATAGCCCATGTGTACTACTTCTATCAGGGGAAGTTGCTAAATTGTTGGAATAAATAATTATTTATGGGGAAAAAGTCTCAACTGAATTATATTAAACACTCAAATCGATCACTAACTTATTAATAAAATGACTGCTGCTGAATCTAATGGTGGAAAGATGAGCACTCAATTAATAAATGAAAACAAAAAATTTTGTACAAAAGTGGTTTAAAGGTAATGTTTTTCATACAAGTTGTATGAGTTAGATGCTCATAGTTAAAATAATTTCAATAACAAGGAGAAATTGAAGAAAATTGGAAAACATATGAATTACGGGTCATGTACATTGAATTCTTTTTTCCAGGATGATGATGAGAAAATAGTCCATGCTGAAGAGTTTGAGCTGTCGATTCATAAGGATCTTGTAAAAAATCTAATTATGAGATGAAATAGGTCATTCTTTTTCACTTATTTTTTTTCATTATTTATTTTTTAAATATTTATTAATTCTTATGTTTATACTAATATATTCGTTTCTTTAGAGTGTTATTTTATATGACAAGAAGCATGGTACTATAGATCCAACTTTTGATTTTAATGTGGCTAAAATTAGTGATAAGACATGGTTTTACACTCTCTTCGAGCCGGGATATTTTTGGGAAGCTAGTGTTAGTCTCTACTATTATATACTGTATTTTCAATATTAGTTTTTCTCATTCCGCATATTTCTGATATTATTAAATTTTTTATTTCATTTTACAACATATTGAAGTTATTTTCTACTACGTGAGGAAGACCGGGTTGTATTCAAATTTGGAACTACCAGTGAGATACACAACCACGGATCCACTTTTTGATGAAACGATCAAGTCCTTGTATTTGAGGTATATCGAGCATGGTTCTGAAAGTATAATTGATGTCTCCAGCCTCATTTCTAATTATATAATGGGTTACAAACAAATATGCGGCAAACAATGGGTCAAAGTTGATCACGTTTTATTACCAATATATCTTGAGCTAAACGAAGTAGGTCGGTGGATCCTTGGTAGACTTTACTTTTTTGATAGATTAACATATGTTTATAACTCGCGTTGGTCGGTAAATGATAATTTCGATGTTGCAAATTCTGTAATGTGCTACTCAGATATCCTGCCACTTTTTCTTGACCTTGTTGGATTTTATAAGAAAAGGTATGATATCAAACAAAAGATGGACCATATGCGAGAAAGAAAATTATGGAGTCTTTCGTTATTGTTATCATTAATGGGTTGCCAGGAGAAAAACTCAAGTATACGGATATTCACATACGATATATATATATATATATATATATATATATTATCTTTTTATAGGTCATGTTCATATGGTGTTTTCTCATCAAATCTTATATTTCTCGTGTTTGTTCAGCGATTCTGGGTGGTTTGTCGCATCATATGCATAATACTTCATCACTGGAGCTGAAATGCCTATTCGAGATTTTGATTGTTTTTTTACACAAAAAAACGTTTTGCTACTTTACTATTCAAGCATGGAAACCTCAAATTGGAACATGGTTACCAAAGTGTCAATGAATCCTCTGGTCTTTTACTCGATGATGCAAGAACAATTTTTATATGATAACAAGAAAAAGGAGACAAAGTAGTTTTTTTAGTTCTTTTCCATGTTCCTTAAATTTCTTTTTCAAATAGGATAATGCAAGTGTTTTGTAATAACAAAATTTAGAGTATTTAGTTGATTGCACTTGTTTTCATTTTTCATAATGTTTGCTTGTATAGACTTTAATAGTTGTTTTTGGGAATTAATTATAAGAATGTACTACGTATATCGTTTATCTCAGAAAAATAATAAGGATAAATATCTTTTTCTTTCATCGGACATGAAATGAAAGTTGGTTTTCTAAACCCAAATGTCCTGTTGGAGATTAAAACAGGGCATTGCACATGTTAACCATAGAAGAAAAATATGCATAATCTTAAATATAATTAACTTATTAAATCACCAAGTAATGGTACATGCTAACACACATCAGTTTGCACAGTCAAATATATCCCATCAAGATGCTTGTTGTCTTTTTTTTTTAACAAACGATAGGATACTCATTTAACAAGGATAAAAATCCAAATACACATTGTTCAAATCAAATACATCGCATGATATGGGAGACCTCACAGACGAGGCCTAAATGCAATAAAACCAACTAAGACAAAGGCAGCAAAGAGCTGAAGTCCTAGACTTAGCCAAAAAAGCAGATAAGAGAAAGGAGAGAAGTGAAACTGCACCCATGCCTAGCACCTCTCTACATCCTCCGGTGGACCAATAAGTTAAGCGGATTGGAACTCAGTCCAATCTCTGGCAACCTGCTTCAAGATACAAAGTTCAGAGAGTTGTTGCTTCTGAAAGATCCAAAGGTTACGGCTTTTCAACAGCCACCATAGAATGTATGTTGACAATTGAATTCTGTCTTCATTAATGGCTCTATGGTTGAGGCTGCAGATGTTCCACCACCAGTCTGCAAAGGTAAGGGAAGAAGTGGGTAAAGACTCCCATTGGATTGGTGCTAATCTCCAGACCTTCTGAGCTTTACTGCATTGCAAAAGAATATGGTCTATGGTTTCAACGTCTTCTCCACACACAGCACAAATAGGATCAACCTGGACACCTTTCTTAATCAAATTAGTGGAAACAGGTAAAGCCTTTGAGAAGCATCTCCAGATGAAATGCTTAAGTTTTCCACAGACCTTGAGTCTCCAAGTTCTCTCCCTGACTTTAATGTCCCTAACACTAGAGTTGCTGCTTTCAGGATAGTCCAGTAGTTGTAATTTAATGGAAGAGAGGTAAGAATAAGCTGAAGCTACTGAGAAAGATCCCTGCTTTACATTGTGCCATAACCAACCATCAGATTTGTCAGGATTGAGGCTATTCAACTTCAAAATGGCAGCTGCAACTTCTCTATCAAACAGAGCATTTATCAGATCAGAGTTCCAATGTTTCCCATCAGTGGTTAGTTCATTAACAAAGGTGCATTCTGAATGAATTCCCTCCTTGAAAGAAATTTTCTTGTTATCAAGGGATTTAATCCATGGATATCCCAGAATAGGAGTATTCAAACCACTGTGCAGATTAACTTTAAGATTAAGATCAAACTTTTTCTTAACCACCATCCAGCAATTCCACACCCATGACCCACCTGTTCTGCTTTTAGCTTCAAAGAAAGAAGATGTGGGGTAGTACCTTGATTTTAAAACTTTTCCAACCAAAGAGTCAGGATTAGAGACAAGTCTCCAGAGTTGCTTTATGATCATGGCCTCATTAAATAATTGGATATCTTGGAAGCCAAGACCTCCCATCTCCTTAGCAGTTGTAATTTTTTGCCATGCAACCCAAGAAATGCCAGAGTCTTGATTAAGTCCCTTGCTCCACCAAAATTGAGCACAAATCCTAGCAACATCTTTA